CGACAGTCGACATCGCCATGCGTAGCCACATTCTGATGGAAGAAGGCCTGGCGAAGTTGGTAGTCGTCTCGGTAGGCGAAGGTTGCGGTTGCCGAGACTGGCTGTCGCGAAGACCACGCAAGGGAACATTCATCCTCGAAGGCATTTCCCATCCTTTACTGTTTTTAGATTTACTTAAATGGGGGTTTAAAACTCATCACTCTCTATCTATCTCTCTTCTACACACACACAAACACACATATATATATATATACATGCAAATGCACATAGATACACACATGAATTCATACCTACATATATACATATACATATATATATATATATACAGAACCATATTAGTGGACTAAGCGATCAAGATCCTTTTCCATCATGTTAGTGAATAAGCGGACTTGAAACAGTTGAGAACTTGTCGCATTAACTACTAAATTTGATCGAATCCAGTATACATTTATTTGTATGAATCTGTTAATCACTCGGCTTCTGCTGAGGTATGTGCCCAGTTCAAACAACTTCTGCGAAATCGAGTATTTTTTCGATTCAGCTCAATTGTCAATCTCAACATGGTCAGGCCCAACTTCACCAAAATGGGATCCTCCGATGGTTTTATAGTAGCACGCTTCGGTTGCCGGTTCTGCAGGCCAAATGAGCAATAAAACACCGAATTCGACCACAAGTACTATATAATACACAGAGTCAACAGAATTATTGCAAACTTAGCGAGTACAAGAGGAAAAATCAGTTAATTTCTTTTAAAGTGCATGAGCAAAAGACGATGATGACTTGGTTCTGATCTTTTTTTTGTTTTCCTGGGGCGTTTCGACTTACAAAACCCCCAAGATTTAATGACAGGCATATGTGACAACCTCTAACTTACATTGAGTAAAGAGGAAACGATATTGCCTTCTGTTCAAGTTTGTCATCATTAATTTTCAAGCGAATTGCAAGTCAGATCAACCTTAAAATGCATTCACTTTGTGGGTGCATACATTTGAAGTCACTTTCAGAAAAGTTCACCATCAAAAAGAAGTTTTATAGAAATGCGATCATACCAGTGACCACAGCATCTTGGTCTTCATATCTACAAAAAGAAGTTTTGTTGACACAGTATATCTAACGTTAAAAATAAGTCTTTTAATGCAAGTAGAATATATGAAAAATCTTTCGGGGTCTTGGCCAAGATTCTCCTGATTTTTTACTTCCGAGCAAAGGCACCATTTGAAACTTGATGTTGGC